CTGCTGATGCCCCCGCTGCTCTGCAGGGCACTGCCCGGCCCAGCAGTAGGCACAGATCGCGTTTCCTGATGTGCTGGGTGCCTAATGCTGCTGCCTTCCCTGCCCCTGCGGCTGTCCACTGTAAGTGATGTCCATCTCTCAAAGTCTCTGGGATGCAGAGGACACAGAGAGCCTCTCTGTGTCTCCACAAAAAGGGAGGAAACAGACCCACCTACCATGTGCTTTTCCCGCCTCAGTGCTGTGTCCAGTCGCAACAGCTCTTTCAAGTGAAGGTAATAGATACACAGGTCGACGTCTACACTGAAAGATCAAGAGACACAGAAAATACTTTAGCGTATTTGGGCCAGCAGGTGGCGTGGCGGTTACGGCATTGAATTTCACATGGCCGACTCCGCAGTGTGAGTCCTAGACCTGGTAGCTTGAAAATCATGCCAGGTGCGTGTGCACACGTGCCGGGCAGGGGTTAGGGGGTTGGGGGTGATGTCACTCTCCATGGAGCAGAGACACCCTATAACAAAAGCAAACAAACGGAACTTTTAGCGTATTTGACATGTACAGGGAGGTTACAGCATAATAGCACATCCCTGCTCAGTACGAGCCCCAGACACCCAGCCCCCAGACTCGAATTCTGCAGCATGCTGAGTCCCACGCCTACCGAGGTTTGGAAGAGGAGTAAGATGAGCTATTTTTTGAAGTCCACTAAAGACCAGCAGGGAACAGTGGAGTCAGAGCATCGGGGACATCAAAGATAAGTGTATAAAGCGAGGGAAGGTGAAGGAACGATCGTCCTTGAGCACGTTCACGTTTGTCACCCGTCATCTTTCCTTACGCCATACGGCCACTTCCTTATGCCGTTTTACACATGAGGAGACTGACTCAGGAAACAGAGACCCAGGGAAACTGAGCGGCAGTCGCCCTGTCATGGGAGCAGGTAGAAGAGTGTGTATGAAGGCCTTTGACCTCTTTTCCTCATAGACAAATGCGTGTTAGGTAACGGGCACTCGCACCCAAACTGTCAGGAATTCTCTAAGTCCAAATGCTGAAAAAGGGCCATTCTAAGCCAGGGCTGGCTCATGTAAGATGAAGTCTGTTCAATAAAGCCCCTCCTTCCTGGGACCAGATGGCATAATGGCTACGTAGCCGGACTCCCACGTAGTTGACTGCAGTTAAGAGTCCGTGACTCGGCGGCTTAAAACTCACTCCAGGTGCATGTGCATGTGTGCCCGAGATCCTGAGAGGAGAATGGAGGAAAAGGGATTGCAGCCCCTCTGAAGGGTGATTTCTCACTTTTTGTTGCTCTGTCTCTGTCTCTCTGGCAAGGGCACGCACCCTATAGCAAAAATCTCTCTTTAAAAAAAAGAGCCCATGGGGGCCAGCAGATGGCGTGGTGGTTAAAGCTGCTGGACTCCCACATGGCGGACTGTGGTTCAAATCCTGGACCTGGTGGCTTGCTTTCTATCTTTATCTTCTCTCTCTCTCTCTCTGTCACTGGTCAAATTAAAATTAATAAATTAAAAATAAATAAATAAATAAACGAGCCCTCCCCCCTTCCCTGGGCCACCTTGAGAGTCAACACTAAGCTCAAGGCTCTGGTCCTACCCTTTCTGCAGCCCTGAGCTAGGACAGGGCCCGGTTTCTCCTATCCCTTGCTCTCATGGAACTTCAAAGCAGAGAGTCCAAGGACCAATGTGAACCTAGCAGACTATGTTTGAGCATCTGCCGTGTGCTAACCCCTGCTCTGGGCTGGAGAATTTACTGACTTAGGGCATGGGCTTTGGAGACAGGGTGGCCGGGTCAAAGCCAGCTCCACCACTCACCACTGTGTGACCATGGACATGTCACTGAACCTCTCTGTGCCTCATTTATTCCTTGTAAAATGGGGGAAATGATAGCATCTACCTCCTGAGGTTGACAGGAGGAATTCACTCATGTTTAATCACTGACCCGGGTCCAGGCTCCCTACCAGGCACTAGGGGCAGAGCAGTGAACATGAGCTAACTAATCCCTGCAAACTGCTTGGTACCCAGCCCAGGGCATGGAAGGCACTTCATCAGTGCTAGCTGCTAGGTAGTGCTCAGGGCTGTCTGCCATCAGTCGAGGTCTCCGGGTCATCTCTCCCAGGGCTCAGCCTGACCCTAACTCCAACGTTTGCCAACACTGCAGGATAAGTGACAGGTCATCCGAGGCCCCGGCTTTGACAGTGGATTGCTGGGTGTCCATAGTTACATCATTTAACCTCTCTGGGCCTCTGCTTCCTCCTCGCACAGTGACACGACTAAGCAGCCGCTCTGAGAGAACCAGAGGGCTCACCCTCCATGGCCCCCTGCCTTACCTCTCGCAGGCCAGCACCTCAGGAAAAGTGTTCACCCGGAGGAAGGCGCGGCTGAGGAACCTGTCATCGCTAGTGGCCGAGTGGATACTGGACGAGGAGCTGCAGTCATCCTTCTCCGCCTGGCTCAGGCTGCCCAGGCTGCTGGAAGGGGAGGCTTCTACCGGCTGGTGCGGCAAAACAGGTTGCCTTAAGTTTTCGTGCAGAGACGGGTTGGAGGAACCATCAGCCAAAGGCTGGGGAGGAGGGAGAGAAATCACCCTCGTTAGTCCACAGGGCACATGACATGTTTGTCTGAGTGATTCCAGTCATGGCATGTGATGGGGGCTTGCAGGAAAGGCTGGAGGGAACACTTGGGTCAGGGGAGCGACTGCACATGACAGAGATTCTGTCCTGGGGTGATGCCCACGCTCAGCTCATTTGTCCCCTCCCTTGTCCCCATGAGGCTGGCCCGTCTGCACCAGGCTCCTGTCCCTGAGCTAGTATCCTAGACCTGTTTTCCAAAAATCTACCTGCACCGCCCGCCCAGCTGCCAGCTCGGACCTCCTTCATGGTGGGCACTGCCCCGCCCTGCCTCGTCATGGTCATTGCTGAGCCAGGCCTGCTCTTCTCCACCTGCACCTCCTCCTTCAGGAAGGCTCCCACTGCCCTCTGATAGGCCCCAGCTCCTAGGAACTCAAGCCCCTTGTACCCTGTGGCCATAGGAGCGCATAGGTTCATGTCAGGCCCAGCCACCAGCCTCCACCTCTGGGCAGCTGTGCCTCCAGCTGCTCTGGATACACAGGTATGAGCTGCACTGACCGGCTGTGGCTCAGACCCTGCTCATCATTCCGACTTCTGGGCCTGCCCAAACTCTGGTCTCGCTGCCTGAAACACCCTCATTCGTTGTTTGCTAAGCTGAACCATCTCCAGGCGCAGATCCTGGATCCCAGGTTGGATTCCAAAGTCCTTGGTCTTTCCTAGCTTGCCTATTCTATCATGCACTGTCCCATGGACTCTCTCTCTTTATTTTATTTTATCTTATTTTTTTAGGTTTTTGCCATTAGGGTGCATGTACATGCCAGAGAAAGACATCTTCCCCAGGGAAGATGGCCTCATTGCAACCCCCACTCCTTCATTTTCCTCTCAGAATTCTAATGCATGCACACACATGTGCCAGGCATGACTTCAAGCTGCTGGATCTGGGAATCGCATTGGGGTCATCCATGTGGGAGTCCAGCACCTTAACTACCATGCTCCCTACTGGCCTCCCCACAATCTTGTATGTATCTGAATCCTCCCCGTGAGGTCCTCCAGCGAGGGGCGGGGCTGATACTCTGCTGTCCACTGGACCTCGATTCCTAGGGCCTACTACAGGGCCTGCCTCTGGGCTGCCCAGTGATGGGTGCTGGTGATGAGTAAATGCTCCTCGTCTGCCTACCAGGTCGTTAAGTAAAGACATGGCTCCCAGTGCGTTCCTGGGAATGGTTGATGTGATCTGACCACTGTTCACTGCGAGGCTTCCATGGAAACGTTAGTTGGGAAAGTCTGCGTTACACAAAGAATAGTTTCTTTGGTGCAGGAAATCTCAGAACCTTCAATACGGCCTGGCTCCTTTCAAAGGGGAAACAGTTTTAAGAACCTCACATGGACCAACGCGTAGCCGTTGCTGTTGAAGCCCATAGGGGTGTCATCCTGTTGAACATTCAGAACAACAGGGGGAGGCAGGGCCCACCATCGTCTCTATTTCACAGATGAAGAAACTGAGGCACAGACCAATTGGGAAATGGCTACCCAGTGAAGGGCTAAGACAGGAGTTAGGATGGAGTCAAGGTGACTCCAGAGTTTGCCCTCCGGATCACTAGGTCAGCAAGCAGCATTTTCCGCAGCTTATTTGACCAGGAAACTCCTCTTCCCAGAATGCCTTGCAAACTGGGGCTCTTTGAGGCATCATGAAGCCACCTCTGCAAACTCCTGGCCACAGCTAGGCAGTGCTGCAGATGTAAGATCTGTAGCCAGGTATGGGAGTTGGAGTCTCGTTGTGCCACTTCCTACCATGTGACCTCGGGCAGGTCATTAGCCTCTCTGGGCCTATTTCCTGATGTGTAAAGTGAAAATAGTAATTATTGCCTTCTAGGAATATTGCAAAATTAAAGCGCCTAATGCATGACAAATACTTAGCAACGTGCCAGCCCCATAGTAAGCATCCAGTGAGTGCCAGCTGCTGGCATTAGTCCGGGGTGTTAAATGACGATTAATGCCAGCAACTGTGTCGACGTCAGTATTTGCATTAGGGCCGGATGGAGACTATCCTACCAGGTTGCTGCCCTGCTCTTAGGTTGCCCGGGATCCTTGGGGATACAAGGACTATGGTCACTCCTTACCTTGTAAACCACGGGGATGCCTGTCCCTGACACCACGGCCACAAAATGGATTAATTCTAAGTTTTGCTCTGTTACAAAGACTCAAAATCATCCATTTTAAAATGACTTTCCATAAAACCCTCAATTAGCCCCCCACTCCCACCCCAACCTCTTGTACATTAATGAATTAAATGCTCTCCTAAGACAGAGCTCAGAACTCTCACCCGGAACTTCTGATTAATGGGGTAGACGACTTTAGCCTTCAGTGCAAACGCCGTGATGTTGTTGTTGAAAGACGGCTCACATTCCTGGGAAGGCGAGAGAAAACAAATGGCACCTGAGGTTTCTGTAAAATGAAAGATAAACTTCCAGGGGTTTCCAAAGTGCTGCATTTCATCGATAACTGAGAGCTAGTGCTGACCTGCTAGGAGGATGGGTGGATAAAGGGCTGAGTGGATAGGTGGGTAGAAGGACGAGTGGATGCGTGGATGGATATATGGACAGACAGATGAGTGGCCAGATGGCCAGATGGATGGATGGATGGATAAATGAGTGGCAGGCGTAGAAAGAGATAAATGGAATGGCACATTCTTTATTTAATTCTTATTCTCTTCATTTAATTCTAATTCTTCAGCTAGAAGAATCTTAGGACTATCAGGGGTATAAACCATGCAGCAATATTCACCCATAGTTGTGGAGTAGATCCTTAATCAAAAACAAGTGGCTAGGCAAAACTTTTAACTCCTCTGAGTCTTGGCATCCCACATAGTAAATAGGTAAATCTCTGTCCCCAAAGACCACAAAGAAAAGCACCCAGCTGAGTTGCTGGAGCAGAGACGCTAAGCAACAGCAGCCATGCAGTGATAGTAACAAACTGCTTTCAAACACTGTTCAGGAATCACCTCCCCTGAGAAGCCATCCTTGATTGTAGCTGGATGGACGTATTCATGGCCTGCCCTTTATCCGGACATTCTTCAAATCCATGTCCTGTTAAGGTGGGCCCTCTTCACTTGGCAGAATCAGTGCTGGATAAAGGCTTTGGAAACAGCCAGCCAGTGAATAAAGGCAAGCAGACAGGCAGGCGAGGAGCCCAGCACTGCAGACTGTGAGAATCTCGATCAAGCAATTCCAAACGTGGTGAACGATGAAAATTGCTCTACGTCTACATCAGTTCTTTCCCACAGCAGGAAGAAAGATTTCCATAACAAACGATTGATTCCAAAGCAAAGTTCACCTTGGAATAAGACAACCTATCAGAGCACAGATAGATTTATCACCGCTCACAAGTTGGGGTGCTAAAATGGTGCCTGACTCCACCAGCAATGTGGCCTCCATACATCTCCAGAGTCTCGCCATGCGACCCCGCGAGCAGGGCAGACAGGGGAGCTCCATGTTGACAACCTCAGCTCTTGTCACTTCTCCGTAAACTTTATGCTCTCAAAAACAGACATAGATGACAAGAATGGCAGCAGTCACCCACATGCGCCACCTTCCTAAGCTTGCAAGGCCCCTGACAGGAAGGTGCCTGTCTCCATTTTCCAAATGAGAAAAATGAGTCCCAGAGAGGTTGAGCTGTGTACCCAAGGTAATGCAGCTAACAAACACCAGAACCAGGCTTTGAACTCAAGTTTCCTAGCTTCTGGTCCACCCTCTATCTGACACCATGTTAGCTCCTAAACATACCACAAATAAGAACAAGAAGAGGAGCCATGATGGTTATAGAATAAGAGCAATTCAGTAGAGAATGCCCCAGGCTTAGCTTCAGGATGCCCAGGAAGCCAAGTCAGGTACTGATGTGCTTCAACACCCTCATGCCCCAACGCCTGCATGTAACCAAGCACAGATCCCACCAACCCAGCTTCCTCAGTCTCTCTCGGATCCATAGCTGTGGTGTAACCACCAGCACATTTACCCTAAGGGGCTGCCATGGCCCCTGCCTGGCTCCCCATCCGTGTGTCAAGGGCCTTCTAGGCACTATGTAAGTATGCCAGTTTATGCATATTTACTCACTTAATTCTCACACAACGGTCAGCTTTGGGAGGTTGGACTATTATTATCATGCCCATTTTGTGGGGGGTAAACTGAGGCTCAGAGGTTGACACGTTCTAATTCATTCTCCATGTGGGAATCAGATGATCTTTTAAACATGCAATGCCTGTTGCTGCTTGTCTTAAAGCCCTTCCTGGCTCCCCTGAAATCTGAAGGTTCAGAGCCTGCTCCAACCCCCAGCATCCCAACCTACTCTCATCTTGAAGCTTTTTGGGTAAACTGGTACAAAAGTCAAGAATGGCAGTAAGATGAAAAAGACTGAATTCAGAACTGATTATGTAATTTGTGGGATACAGAGAAAAATGAAAAGGGAGGTTCTTATTTTAAAGTGACCAAGAATTTCAAAAAGGGGATAGCAAAGTCCAGCAACCAAGAACAGGACCCTTCAAAGCATGCGGGGTGATCACATGGCTACACCCCTGTAATACCAGGTGAAGGTATTCGCCCTCGCTGCTTTTCCAAGGGGAACACATTTACTCAAGGGAAAGATGCAAAAGCAGAAAGGACCTCCCTGGATATTTTTAAACTTCTTAGAAATGGGAGAAAAGAAAGAACAGCATGAAGAGCAGGGGGAATGAGAGGAAGGCATGGCTTCTGCCTTCCAAGAGTCTGTTTCCAAGAGGAGAGAAGCAAAACAAAAATCACACTTAGTGTGAAACAGGTAAGAAAAGGCTGCCAGTGAGGAGCCCTCCTGAGCCCTCTAGGAGCTACCCTTGAGACCAGGAGCCTGTGTGGGTGCAGGAGGAACACAGATCCGCTGGGGTTCAGGCTCCATCTATGCAGATGTCAACCCCTGGAGGGCAGGCCTCGGGGACAGTCGTGGCATTTGCAGAAATGAAGGGCCCGAACCACGTGGTGCAGGGAATCGAGCAGTGAGCAGCCTTCTGCTACCTGAACGCAATTGCCTGTTTATATTAATAGTGGTTTAAAGAACTCTTTATTACATTCAGGCATCCTCTAAGTTCTGACAGTCTCCCCAGAAGAAGCAATACCATTATTCAGCAAATTGGTTGCAGCACAAAGGCACAACGTTAAACCTCTTCAGTTGAAGCAATGCAATCATTCAGAAAGTTGGTTAAAGTATAATCACAGGAAAAGAAAAGCCATTTCACTCCCCAACATGAAGGTGTTCTTTGCTGTGAATGTACAAATAAATGCACCCTTAAAAGCTTTCTGCCCTTTCTTCCTCTGCTGTGGAGTAGCAGTTCTCAGAGCCTTCTGGAATTTTTAGTTTGTTTTTAGCTGAGATGAGCTGTGCATTAAACAAAGTTTATGCAAGGAACGGCGGAAACCAGTGCCTTGGTTTTCCGGGCACTAGAGGACAATGGAGTCGCATCTTGATTCACCCAAAACAGTCCTGTTCACATGCCTCGGTAGTTCAGTCTGCAGAAGGCAGCGGCATTCTGACAAGCCAGTCACCCGAACAGGCAGGCCTTAAACTTAACTCCTGGCAATTATTAGCTTGAAAATGGACATCTGCTAAACAGAGCTAAATAGTTAATAGGTAAAATATTAGTAGGCAAGAAACAGTGAGTTAACTTCCAAAGTAGGCAGAAAGACTTGCGGCGCCTGGAAACATTGGTTGGGTACCAGGTCCGGGAGGGAATGTTCACATGAGCTAAAAGCCCTGGGTGACCCTGGGAGAGGGTGACACCACACTGTAGTACTGTCATTGAAAGCGAAGAAACCTAAGGCTCAGACAGGTTAAGTTTCTTGCCCAATATCACACAGTAAATGCGTGGCAGAGTTGGGACTGAGTGCTGGAATCTGGATCCCAGAACTAGTGTTTTCATCCCCTCGATGGCTATGCAACATGGGAGCAAGGTTGGTTTTGTTTGTTTTTTAGATTTTTGACGTAGGGCACCTGCACTCACCAGAGAGGAATGGAGAGAGACAGAGAGAGAGGGGAAATGAGAAATCACCCCCCACCCCCTGCCATGTCATGGCCGCGGCACAACCCCTTCTCCTCCATTCCCCTCTTGGGACTTTGGACATGCACGCACACGCACACACAAGTGCTTGGCTTATTTTTCAAGCCACTGGGTCCCGGAATTCCACCGTGCAGTTAGCCACATGTACATCCAGCGCCTTCACCACCACAGCACCTGCTGGCCCTGCTTTCATTGAGATATAATTCCCACGCCATACAAGTCATCCATGGAAAGTTACGGCTTAGCCGTTTTCAGTGCTTCCACAGCTATCACCACAGTCGATGTGAGAACATTTTCAACACATCAAAGAGAAACTTTTTTTTTTTTTTGAGAGGTTTTCGCTATAGGGCGCGAGTGCTCGCCAGACAGACAGAGAGAAATATAGAGACAGAAAGCGAGAAATCACCCCCAAGAGGGGATGGTCACGCCGCAATCCCTTCTCCTCCATTCTCCTCTCGGGATCTTGGGCATGCACGCACACGCACCCGGCGTCTGAGTTTTAAGCCACCGGGTCCAGGACTCGAACCGCAGTCGACTACGTGGGAGTCCAATGACATAGCCATTATGCTAACTGCTGGTTCCCCAAAGAGAAACTCTTTAGCTCTCAGTCCTTCCTTCCCTCTGCCTCAGTCTCCCGCAACCACTTAGCTACTTTCTATCTGTGCAAACCTCCCTGTTTCGGACATGGTGTGTGGATGGAATTCTATAATATGTGGAGTTCTGTGACTGGCTTCTTTCCCTTAGCATAATATCTTCAGGGTCCATTCACACTGGAGGGTGTGCAGGATTCTCCCCAACCTATCCAAAATGACTGGAACAAGAAATCTTTCAAATTTTGGATTTTTTTTAGATTTTGGAATTTTGCATATATAATGTGACATCTTGGGAATGGCGTCCAAGTGTAAGCATCACATACACTTTTAATGAATAGGCTGAGGATGATTTTTTGCTACAGGGAGCGTGCACTTGCCAGAGAGACAGAGTGAGGCACAGAGACAGAAATTGAGAAACCATCCCACCCCGGGGGGCGGGGGATGGTCACACACAATCCCTTCTTCTCCCTTCTCCTCTCAGGATTTTGGGAATGCACACACATGTGCCCAGTGTGAGTTTTAAGCCAACGGATCCGGGACTTGAACTGCGATCAACTACATGGGAGTCCAGTGATGTAAACATTACACCATCTGCTGAAGATGATTTTTCATGACATTTGTATACTGCAGGGTTTTGACTATAAACTGTCACATAAGGTCAGGTGTGGAATTTTCCACTTGTAGCCTATGCTAATGTTAAAAGGAGTTTTAGATTTTGAATTTTGAATTTCCAGATTCAACTTGTATCAGTATTTCATTCATTTTTTTTAAAAAATATTATTATTATTTTTAATTTGACCAGAGAGAGAGAAAGGGAAAATGAGAAAGGAAGCTATCAGGTCCCAGACAGGAATCACAGTCAGCCATGTGGGAGTCCAGCACCTTAACCACTCCACCACCTATTGGCTCCACTTCATTCCTTTTTTATGACCAATAATTTTCCGTTGCGTGGATATGCCACATTTTATTTATTCATCTGTCACTCAGTGGGCATTTGGGTTGCTTCCACATTTTGACTATTATGAAGAGTGTATTGCTATGAACATTAGTGTAGAAGTTTTCGTGTGCATATATATTTTCATTTGTGAACAGGGAGAGGGCAGAGTGGTAGAGAGAGATAGATGCAAAGAAGAGAGAGATCATACATCCATAGACACATACACACACATTGTCACATAGAGACACACAGACCTAGAGAGATGCACATATATATATATATGTGTGTGTGTGTGTGTGTGTGTGTATATACACACACACAAACACATGGTATATACACAGACAGACATGTATATACATAGATACTACATACATAGCATATGTGTATATGTGTGCATATGCATAGACACACACATGCAAAACAGGAGTGGCAGATACAGATACATAGCACATACGGGGAAGCGCAGACTCACCTCCCACAAGTCCTGCTCCTCAAATAGTCAGAGCTCTCTCTCCACCTCTCACAGGCTCTGGTGTCAGCCCTGGGGAGGGTAGCTCCTCCTTCCACAAGGTCCTGCCAGCGAGGGCAAGGAGTGCTCTATCACCAGAATCTTTGAGAAGTACTGGCAGGGGAAACAGCAGAGCTAGAAGTTAACCCCTATTGATTTCAAATCTTTGATAAAATTGATTTTAAAACAGGGACCAGCAGATGGTATAATGGTTACGTTGCTTGACTCCCATGTAGCCGACCACAGTTAGAGTGTAGGACCCAGTGGTTTAAAACTCACACTGGACATATGTGCATCCATGCCCAAAATCCCGGGAGGAGAGTGGAGAAGAGACTGCAGCGTGGCCATCCCCTCGGGGGTGATTTTTCCCTTTCTGCCTTTGCATCTCTGTGTCTTTCCAGTGAGGGCATGTGCCCTATAGCAAAACAATCTCTCTTAAAAAAAATTCATTTAGAAACACTAAGTCTAACGTATTTCTGTGCTATTTATTTCACAGCTGAGACCTAGCTCAGCCCCTCCCCAGCTATGTGACCCAGAGAAGCCACCTATGCCCCTGAGCCTCCATTCCCTTACTTGGAAAATGGGGATCTAAATGGGATCTGCCTCATGGGGCTGCTGAGAGAACTGCGTGAGATCATTCACACGAGTGTTTACGTTGCTCACAAATGATACACGCGAAGCTGCCTGGCACTCAGTAGGAGATCATGAGCAGTTAGTTAGTTTAATCTTCCCCTGTTCCAGGATATATATATATCCATAATAGCTATATCCATAATTATCTATCTACCTATGTACATACCTGCCTTCAGCCAATTAAGGCTGGAGACTGAAGTCTGCAGCACTTTCTGAGGGACCAGGAAAAGTGATTAGAAATAACACACCCTCTTCACCCAGAAAGTGATGCTCTGTGGGCAAGAACAGGTTGGACAGAGTAAGGGTGTCAGTAAGGAAGGAACAGGGAGAATTCATCTTACTTATTAGAGTTTCTTTACTTCTCTTTTTTTAAAGAAAGAATTTTATTTTAACTTTATTTATTTATTTATTTACTCCTTTTAGTTTGACCAGAGTGAGTGAGCAAGGGAGGGGGAGATGAGAAAGCAAGCCACCAGGTCTGGAACTAGAACCGTGGTTGGCCATGTGGAAATCCAGTGGCCTTAACCACCATGCCACCTGCCAACCCTGAATTTCTTTATTTCTTCCATGAGTGAGAGGGACAGAGAGAGAGAGAGAGAACTCCCAAAAGGGTCTTGACGATGCAATTCACCCCAGCCTTCAGCCAGTCCCCAATCATGCCAAACACGTGCCCAGTGTACTTAGGAATGCCTGCAGATTTGAACTGGGAACCTTTCCATTTGGGATTGCTTCTCAAAGCTTCCTGTTTTACCACTGTGCCACTGCCTGGCCTTGAGAATCCATCTTTTCACATCTTAGCTAGAGGTCCATCACTCCCACCCCTAGATATTTACTAAAGAAAACATAAAATGAAAACAAACATTGCATATACACAGACTTACACACAAACATACATAGCCTTATTCATAACAGCCAAACAACGAAAACGGCCTGTCCAGCAGGCAGACGTTCCTCAACCATGCGTGATGAGTAACCTGCGGCATATCCACGCGATGACGCCTACTGAGCAACAGAAAGGGGTGGATTATTGATACAAGCAACAAAATGGATACATCTCCAAAGCACTCCGCAGAGGGAATGCAGGCAAGAAAGCACAGGACTCCAGTTTTACAAAGTACTAGAACAACGAAGCCAGCCATGGTGATGGAAATCACATCCGTGGTTGCCTCCGGGCGGAGGGGGATGGAACTGACCAGAAAGGGCACTAGAGCTAGAGAATGTTCTCGACAGGGCTGTCAGTTTCAAGGGTATACACACTCATCACGCTGTAAACGTAAGATCTGTGCATTTTACTGTATGTGAATTATACCTCAGAGAAGTCTGTTGGGAAAATATATCTGTCAGAAGTTCATGTGGGACACTGGACCCCCGAAGTGAGTCTTGGCAAATACACAAGAACACGAAGTTTACGTACGTCCACAGCCTCCTCGTCCCTGGACGGCTGCACTCCTTTCTTCCTCCTCCTCGATGGGGAGCCAGTCTCCGAGGGAGTCTGTACATTTGACTCCAAATGCTTGAGCAGACCTTGAGTGTCGTCCTTCTAAAACCCAAAGGCAGGAGGGTGCAGGGTGCAGACAGGAAATTGAAGTCAGTCAGGCTAGTCACCTCTGTGACATCAACCCACCAGCTCCCCCGCCCAGCAGTCACTTCTGCTCACCTCTGGCTTCTGCACATGCCTGGCCCTCCATGTGCACATCCCACCTCTCATATCCACCTGGGATCTGCTACTTGTCTTTTAAGGCTGTCCTGCCACCTTCCTGAGAAGTCCCCCCAAAGCCCATGAGATACCCCATCTCAGTGCACCCTCAGGACCTGAAGCAAAGCTCCTCTCATTTTTCTCCTGGGTCTTGAGGGTAATAGCTTCGCACAGGAAATGGCATGTAACATTACTTTTCCTGCTGGCTTCAATGCCATTGGACGTTTTTTCTTTTCTATGGTTGCCAAAGGACACAGGCACTCAGAGATGGAGGCGTTGGGAGGATAGGAATGGAGAAAGCATCTCCAATGGGGCGTGGTCACACAGGAATTTCTTCTCCATTCCTTCATCCTATCAAAATTATTTCAGGCACACTTACATGCTCTGTGTGTGTGTGTGTGGTGTGTGTGTGTGTGTGTGTGTGTTTAGAGGCTTTTGCCTTAGGATGCTTGTGCTCACCAAAGAAAAAGAGAGACAGAGACAGTGAGAGGGAAAGTGAGAAAGATGGCCACACCACAGTCCCTTCTCCTCCATTCAACCTCAGAGGGAGTCTGTACATTAGACTCCAAATTCTTGGGCACACCTTGAGTGTTTTCTTTCTAAAACCCAAAGACTGGAGGGAGGTGGTGCAGGGGTACAAACAGGAAGCTGAAGTCAGTCAGATTAGTCCACCTCTGCTACTTCAGCCAATCAACTCCCCCATCCAGCAGTCTCTTCTGCTCACCTCTGGCTTCTGCATATGCACCAGGTGTGAGTTTCAAGCCACTGGGTCTGAGACTTGAACTATGGTCAGCCATGTGGGAGTCCAGCAATGGAACCACTATGCCATCTGCTGGCCCCTAAACATTTCCCAGGGCTAGAACCACGTCATTTGCCATGTGGGACGCAGTCAGCTGAACCTTCACGCCACCTGCCAAGGTGTGTTTTTTTTGTTTTGTGTGCTTTTTTTTTAGGGGGGGGAGAGGTTTTTGCTATAGGGCGCGTGCGCTCCCCAGACAGACAGAGAGAGACAGAGAGACAGAAAGTGAGAAATCATCTGATGGCCACGCTGCAATCCCTTCTCCTCCATTCTCCTCTTGGGATCTTGGGCACACACACACATGCGCCTGGTGTGAGTTTTAAGTCACCAGGTCTGGGACGCGAACCACGGTCGGCTACATGGGAGTCCAGCGACATACCCATTACGCTAACTGCTGGTCCTCAAGGTGTGTTTTTCAAGCCACAGGGGCCAGGGCCCAGACTGCTATGTGAGATCCAGCTCCCTGAACCACTAGGTTATAGTCCTGTCCTGGATGTCTTTTAGGAAAACATCTTAGAATAATTTAAATTATAAAGCGATTTTGGGGCCAGCAGGTGGCATACTGCTTAAGCACTAGACTCCCATGTGGTCGGTCTCAGTTCGAGTACCAGACTCTACAGTTTGAAATTCATGCTGGGCACCTGTGCATTAAGAGAGGAGAGAAGAATGGAGGAGAAGGGATTGCAGTGTGGCCATTCCCCCTAGAGGGTGATTCCTTGCCTTTTGCCTCTCTGTCCCTCTGTGTCTCTCTGGCGAGAGCATATACTCTATAGAAAAAAATCTCTCAAAAAATTATAAAGTGATTTCTGCTGTGAACTATAGTAGAAATCATTATTTGTAAATTCTGCATTTGCAATTGCACCTATTCACTAAAAACTTAGTTTTTTGAAATTTTGAAAGTTGTTTATTAACTGTCAAGAACAATGGAGTATGAGCAAAAATGTTTTGATATGTGAAGTAAATGTTTGTGGGAAAGTGTAAAAATAAACAAATGATAAAAATAATAAAAATAAAATTACCTGTAACCTCAAATTAACACTGTGGAACTTTCCCAGTCACTCCCGGACACAGGAAATCAGAATCGCCCCAGGTGCACGTTCCCAGCTGAGGGCGAAGGAGCTGACCCTCTGCCTTCTGGTTTCGGCTCTCTCACTGTCAACGAGTGTCCTTTCTGCAGTCTATCTAGTGCCATGTTTTTATGTACTTTGTCCTTTCACTTGGGGATTTTCCCCTTTACAATCCCCGCAGCACGGCGCAGAGGTGCTGACAAGTGTTCCCAGGCACGTGAGGGCTATGCGGGGCGTGCTGTACGGAGGAAACCTGTGTTACAGAAGCTTCACTCAGGCATGAGTGACAGGGCCGTGCTCTGTGACCTCCAGGGCAATAACTGACAATAAATATATATTAAAGAAGTTGTCTTTAAACACAAACACAAAACCCAATATTCCTGATGACCATACAGAAATGTGCCAGTGCTTGGCAGGAACCTCACTTGCATTTCCTCTAGGAACGATGGTTCGGTATTCAGTCAGTGTGGTCAGCAATTCTCAGAACATAGCTACCATGAGTAAGGAGAGCAGACTGTATTTCGAATTCTGTCATGCCAGAGACATTAATCTGCTTTTTCTTTGGCCATTAGCTATTCATGGATATAATCCTTGAAATGAAAAAATAGCACCAGTTTGCCATGAATTAGTTAGTAACCATAATGGCACATTTACATGGCTCGAGACTGTTCTAGGCACCGGGAATAGAGTAATGAACAAAATACCCAAAGCCTCTGCCTTCACAGTGCTTACATTCGGGCGAGAGAGAAGAAAGATACAAACAAACAAATATAGCACGTTGGGGTGAAAAGCATTATGAAAAAAAAAAATAATGGAGGGTCGAGGGGAATGGAGAGTGGTAGGAGCGGAAGATCTCTTGGAGAAAAGAAAAGAGAAGTGAAGGAATGGGTCACTTCCAGGGAGAGGAAGCAGTACGTGCAAAGGCCATGAGGTAGGCACAGGCTTGTTAGGTCAAGAAAAGTTCTGTAGCTGGGTGGGCCTTTGGGTAGAGAGGGGTAGATGATGTGGCCAGAGATTTGGGGGTTCTTTCTGTAGCAACTGTACAGGTTTTTTTGCAAGGAAGAATCCAGTCAGAAAAGCAAAACTTACAGTAAAGATCCCTGAAGAAATACCCTATCAATCCCACAGGGGATAGGGGAGAAGCATTGGATTTTGGTTTCTCACTTGAAAACGACCGGAAGTTCTCAAAAGAGTCACATCCATCCCTTTCTCAGAAAGATACTTTAGAATGTGCTCCACCCAAACAAGGAACTAAGCCAAAGGAAGATGTGTGCGGGGCAGGGGAGGGTAGCAGGTGGCGTGGTGATTAAAGTACTGGACTCCCATATGGCCGACCGCGGTTTGAGTCCCGGACCTGGTGGCTTACTTTCTCACTTTCCTTCTCTCTCTCCTCTCTCTGTGACTCCCTGGTCAAACTGAAATTGAAAAATGATAATAATAATAAACAAAATTAAATAAATAACTTAAAAATAAAGAAAGGAAGTTGGGTCACCAGGTGGCGTAGAAGTTAAGGCAATGGACTCCCACTGGGTCATGGATCAAGCCCTGGATCCAGCAGCTTGAAAATCACTTCAGGCACATGTGAGCAAGCCCCAAATCCCAAAAGAATGGAGGAGAAAGGATTGAGGCATGGCCATTTCCCCCTGAGGGGCTGATTTCTCTCTCTATCTCTCTCAGGTGAATGCACGTGCCCTATGGCAAAAAGAAAAAAGAAAGAAAGTTGTTCCAAAGGCCACATCCAAACCATAACATAACCAGCCCCTTTAGCTCTTTCACCCTACCCTTGAGCCAGAGCCCCCTCCACAGCAGCTGCCCTGGTCTGAGCCACCATCACCTTCAGCTGGACCCGTGCAACCATTGCCCACTATGACAGCTTGGTTAACCCCTGTGAACCTCAGCTTACCAGCTGCCAAATGATATACTAACACCCCCAGGCCTGGCACTGGATTCAGACAGACCAGGATTCAAAGCCAGCTCCCCTGTTTATTCATGGTGTGACCTTGGACAAATAAAGACCTTGCAGAGTTTTGACCACTTCACTTATAAAATGAGGCTAACCCACCTAGTAGGTTTGGAGTGAAGACAAAGAACCAAACACCCTCAACACTGCGCATGGGGCCTGGCATCAGGCACAGTCTCTGTGTATTTCTCCCTCAACCCTCCTCACAGAGAAACCAGCATCTCTTAGTGTCCCTTAATCACGGGCAGGGTCTGACCATCCGACTTACCTGCAAGACTCTTGCAGTATTTCAGCTCCAGCCTCTATCACCCCATTTGCAGTACAACACTTTGGAAGTCAGGGGCAGTGCGAAAGAGCCCTCACTTACATCAACTAGATCTGTCTTAGCTTCAGACGGGCCAGGAACGGGTGGAACAAGACCAGCTGCCTTATCTCCGACACTACCAGACTCATTCCTCAAAGAGGCTGAAGCTGGAAGGGCCTCACGTTGTGATCACACTTGCCCCAACGCCTGCTATATGCCAGGCGTGTCCATGAGCTTCTGATTGCTAGTGACAGCTCCCACCCTGACTTTCATCTGTGTAGAATACAGTGGCTTGGGGGCCAGACGCATGTCGGTCAAGTCACCTGGCAAGTTACTTTAGCTGTGCCTCCGTTTCCTCATTTGCAAAACAGGGGCCTTTATGGGATCTACTCAAAGCCGTGGTGGGAGTCTAACGGGATAACTCAAGCAGAGGGCCCACCTCAGTGCCTGGCATGGTCAGCGTTCAGTGCACACTGGCACTGTCACTTCATCACAGGACCTGCAGGCTGGGTAGTCGGATGTTCACTGCTAGTCCGTGCGGGCGAGTCTTTCAGCTGTGCACTTCAACCTAGCAAGGGCAGGATCTGTCCTGTGGCATCTAAGCCCCTAGGCCAGTCACTGGCCCGAAGTGTTCAGCAAACATTTACTGTGTGGATGGAGTGAATGAACGAATGAGTGAATGGCAATGGAGCAGCTGGGACTACAGAAGCTAGGTAATGCACACAGCACCGACGGAAGCAGCGGCAGCAGGCCTGGATACCGCCCCTCCGTCCACCACGCGGAGCTGGGCGAATCTGCTTGGGCAGAGTCAAACCCTTGGGGATACAGATTGATGAGACTGAGGCCGGGAGGAGTTTGGTGGCTAAATTCACACAGCGGTGCAAGCACTTCTGGGTGACGCCGCCCGCCTCCCTCTGAAATCAGAGTCTGGCTCCTTCCCGGAGCGGTTGCGAACGACCCGCCATCGCTCTCAGGCGGACGCAGAACCCGGGCTCAAACTCCAGGACCGAGAATGGGCCGCGCATGCCCCGCCCCGCAGCTGCCACCTCGGCGGACCCACCTGGTGCCGCGGGCGCAGGCGGCCTAGCCGGG